AAAAAAAAAAAAAAAAAAAAAAAAAAAAAAAGAATTATGTATCTGGACTAACTCCAAGGGTGAATGTAGTCATTATATACCATAAACATGTACTAATAAAAATTAAAATAGATGGAATTTAGATGTCCAGTGCTCCTTGCACTTCCACACTAGAATGCACCCCAGGCCCAGGCCCAGCCTAGAGACTGCCTTGTTCTTCCCACTTCACTAGGCAGAGGGCCTCATATGCACACATATGCAGCCCTCAGCCTGATCTGCAAGCCCTGTCATCCTCCTCCTTACACACCTCTTGGCCACTGCTGGCCTGCTTGTGTCTCCCCAAATTTCTGGGTTGGGACTTAAGTTTCCAATGAAAAGTGATAGAATTAAGAGGGGAGGCCTCTGGGGAGGTAGTTAAAACAGAAGAGTAGAGCTCTCACGACCAAAATCCGTTCCTTTAAACAAGAGGCCTGAGGGCCGGGGATATAGCTCAGTGGTACAGCGCCTGCCTGGCAAGTGGAAGGTCGAGTTTGATTCCTGGTACCAAAACAAACAAACAAACAAAAAAGAGGCCTGAAAGCTGGGCATGGTGGTGCACACCTCAGCACTCAGGAGGCGGAGGCAGGACAATCTCTATGAGTTTGAGGTCCAGCCTGCACTACATCGTGAGACTCTGTCTCCAAAAAAAAAAGAAAGCAAAAGGCCTGCAGGAGCATGTCTGCCCTTCCATCATGCGAGGTTACAGGGTAAAGTGTATTGATGGGAAAGAGGGTCCTCGTTAGACACCACATCCTACAGTTCCTGGATCTTGGATTTCTCAGTCTCCGTAACCATGAGCAGGAAACTTCTGTTGTTTATACGTTACCTGCTTGAAGCTATTTCGTTATGCCGGCCCGAACTGACTCAAGATCACCATCCTGGACCGGTGTGTGCACAACAGCGTGATCTGTCCAGAGATGAGGAGTTGGAGTGGACCTGACAGAGGACTCTGGGGTCCCATGCACCAGACGCAGGTCTAGCTCCACAGGAAGGAGAGTGGCCGAGCCTTGAAAAAGCCCAGGCATGGCCTTCTGCAGTGAGAATCCGGACCCTGAGCCTCACCTTGACTCCAGGCGGTCTGCTGACAGCAAGGACAGTGCCTTGCTGCTTCTCCCGGCTCCGTCACTGGTTCCCTTACATTCCACCTTGGGCAACGACCAAGAAACAGGCGTGCCAGTTACAAAAGGAAAAATACTGTTTATTCCACACCACTACATCAAGTACTCCTTCCCTATTCTCCCCTCCCTGCCCTTCGCGCGGGCCCTCAGGAGGCATCGCCCATGCTGGGAGACGGTCAGAACCTCCACGTCAGGATGTGGCCTGTGAGGGAGGAAAGGGAACTCGGGCACAGGAAGATGACTGGGTTCCCCAAAACACAAAACATCGGTGTTTCTCGTTCCAACTCAAGTGTGTTCCTCATTTCTGACCAGATTCTTTCCTGGACTTCACCTGAATAAAATGTCACCGTCCGTGCAGGGTCAAAGGCCCCAGCTGAGTCAGCAGGCCATAGAAATGTTTGTTCTTTCACTTCAAAACAAAACCAACACAAATTATACAGTCAGCCTTTTCTGCCCGTTCTCCTGTCTTTCCATGGCAAAGGAGCCACCAGGTTCTGGCTTAACACCAAAAGGATGCTTTCAAAAATCAAATTCATATGAGCTCATTTCAGAGCCTGATGCTAACAAAAAACAACAAACAACCACCAAAAAAAACCCAAAACACCACCCGATCAGTGAGTGAGCAGGCCCAGCTGCTTTCTGGGGGTCCTAAGGTAGGGGAGCAAGGGCAGAGGTCACAGCACGACACTAAGCTCTGCTTGCAGGATGCTTCAGAGGCACCTTGCACCCTACTGCCCGGGGGATTCAGCCTGCAAACACCCATCTCTCTGGAAGACCAACCCATCTTTCCAGTGGAGGAAAAGAAACAGTTTAGTTTTAGGCAGCCTGGGGAAGACAGATTTAGATGAGGGAGAGGCTGAAAAAACACAGCCAGGCCTAATTTAGACCAGGGTGCTTTGTGATTTTTTTCCTGCCATGCCGGGAACAGACAGATGGTGTCCTCCTGCATGTCCACACCGTTTTCCACGCTACTCCCAGGGCACCAGATATAAGTGACTTGTCTGCCCCCACCAAAAAAGAGAAAAGCACCCCTGAATACAAGCATTTGAGCATGAAAACCTGCATCTCATTCACCGAAAGGCGATTTGCTGAATCCTTGACACACTCTGGTCCATGATTCCTACTGAACGTGTGTGTGTGTGTGTGTGTGTGTGTGTGTGTGTGTGTGTGAGAGAGAGAGAGAGAGAGAGAGAGAGAGAGAGAGAGAGAGAGGGAGAGACATCCCTCCCAAGCCAGTCGTCATCTCGTGGGGACGCTGTTACTCAGAATGCAGAGTGTAAAGCCCCCCCTTTAGAGACATTCTCGCTCCTGGGAGGCTGGATCAGGGAAGCCACCCACCTGCCTCCTCCCCCTACCACGCACTTGCCAGGTCTGGCTGGTCCGAAGGCAGCAGGGCACAAATGTGGGTACATACAACTACCCTGTCCCTGGCAGGGGTCCCAAGAGGGCGGCCACACTGGCACTGCAGGGCTGTGGAGGGATCAGCAGTAAGTGGGAGAGGAAAAACAGTACCCCAGAGCAAGCCAGGCTAGGAGGTGGCTCTGCGGGTGACCCACGGAGAGCAGGACGTGCCCTTCCCTGGTGGTCGTCCCCCCGCAGTAGGTCACGTGAGGTGCAGTGGAGGACAGCTGCTGGGGACCAGGTTCTGTAAGGGTGCAAGGAGAGAAAGGGAAGGGCGCTCCTGGGACTTGCGGTCTTTAAGGACAGCTTCTGCCACAAGTTCAGGTTCATCCGTGCAAACCTCCTAATTCTCTCCTGACCGCCTGGGCTCCCACACTGAATCTTAAGGGCTGGCCAGCCAAGATGAGGACGGAAGCTCCCTTAGCAGCTTGATTAGACACCAGCTCCCGCTGTGCGTGGCTACCCACTCCGGAGGGAAAACCCGCCTGATCCTGACTCGGAAGACCACTGAGGGGTTGCTTACACAAGGGCCGGTCTGCGACTCAACAAAATGAGATTTCTTCACTGTCCAAGGCTTGAAGTTAAAAAGGAAATCTGAGGTCGGTAAACTCCCAGAAGAAACCTTCCTGGGAGGCCCTCGTGTCCTCTTGGATGGTGCCCTGTTCCCCGGGGCCTCCCTACCTGGCCTTTTGCTTCATTTGCTCCTTCAGAAGGCCCAGGACAGGCCTGGGCTAAGTTTGGAAAAGAAAAGGAGACAGGAGCTCAGTATTCTTTTCCTCACGTTTCTTCAGAGCTGCCTGCGCGCTTGGGCAGTGTGCTTTTTCCCAGGCTGCAAGTTCAGGTTTTGTGGGGCGGTGGCCGTGGGCAGAGGTTAGATTAAAATCTGGGAGGACTGCCTTGTTCACTAAATTCCAGCAGCAGACCCGGGGCAACTCCACGCTATGCAAAGGTCACTGTTCCTTCCTCCCAACATAGATTGCAAAATCAGATTCTACTTTAGTGCAATATCCGCCCCCAAAGGAACCCGGGAGAGGCGCTGGCTTGTTCCGGTCCCAGGGGTTTGGGAACCTTCTGACCTTGAGGTCAGACATTGTGTGCGGCCCTCTGAGCAGCACACCACACTTTCCTAAATTTTATCTCCTGGGTCCTTTCAGGGGTTCCATGTGCCTGTAGGCAAGGTGGGGGGGGGGGCAGCAGGAGGCTGCGGTTCCACTGGATCAGCGGTCACAGCTGCCACACTAACACAAGGGAGCCAAAGAGAAGAGAAGAAAGGAAGAGAATGCCATCGAAAACAAGAGCTAATAGCCAAGGGTCCTCAGGAGCTGCTACAGTCCCGGCCCAGACGGGAGCTTCTGGTTCGCAGGCAGAATCCCCCTCTCCAATACCACGTTAGCAAAGTGCTTTTCTGGGTACCACCACAAATCCCTCCGTGCGGCACGCCCAGCCCAGAGCCTGGGGCTCTCACGGGGCCCCTCCGCCCTCCCCAGGGTGGAAGGTGGGGGGAAGAGGGGGAAGGCATCGGCGCACATGCACACAGTGGAGTCTCACGACCGAGGGCAAGCGCGGCACAGCGGCGCGGAGCCCGATGACAGGTACTGTCACGCAGGGGCGACAGCTGGGTGCCAAGCAAAGAAGAGTACAAAGTGCTGGAACGCAGGGCGGGGGCTGGGCCCTACGGGATCTGAAAGACATTCAGCTTGCTGGTGTTCTTGAGCGTCTGCCGCCGATTGCAGAACCAGACGCGCACAACCTCGCGGTCGTAGTTGAGCTCCTTGGCGATCTCGGTGATCTCCTGGCCCGTGGGCAGGGGGTTCTTCTCGAAGTAGGCGTTGAGCGCCTCGATGGCCTGGGGGGTGAAGGAGGTGCGGCGCTTGCGTTTCTTGGAGGGCTCCCCTCCCACAAACTCCATCAGGTTCTGCTGGCCTTCCTGGTTCCGGAGTTCCGCCTCGTTCAGCCACTTCTCCAGCACCGGCTTCAGCTTCTGGGCACTCTTAGGTGTGATGTCCAGCTTCTCAAACCTGCGGCCAGCACGCGTGTGGGAAGGGACAGAGACAGCGGCTCGGTCTCTTCAGCACACGCACATCTGGGAGGAAGCGCTGCCCTTCAGGGGCAGCTCCTCTCAGGGCTACCGAGACCCGAGCCGGGGTCCCCTCACCACCTCGCCCACGGCCTCTCCGGCCGGACCCAGACCCCTCACACCCCTCAGTATCCCAGGTCTGCATTCCCACGGGCGGCTCAGCAGGGTGATGGCAACAGGGCCCTAAACAACTGCTCCAGAACTTTCACGCCCAGGTGGGGCCAGCACGTTGAGGAGAGGCCTCCGGAGGCCCTGAGTGCTGACCAGGCTGCGCTTTCTGGCTGAGCCACAGTCTCACAGGGGTTGCTCTAATAGTCACTCTAGTCTCACCACAGACCAGACAAAGCCATTTGGCCGTCACTGAGCAACGCATTTATTCCTGTCTGAAACTTTGCCACTCCTCCTCTGGTTTCGGCGTCCACACTAGTCAGTGTGTGGGCAGCACACGGCAAACTCAGCTCTGTTACGTTAGGGCGACACCTCACTCCCATGGGAATGGGCCCGTGACCGGGTATGGTACGGCTGAGGGCAAGGACAGAACTCAAGTCCCGCTTTTGTAACTAATGTTGTGAGCTGGGCTCCTTTCCTGCTCGGATTCCTGAACGGGTTTGGGTCTTGAGTTCTGCCGAGAAGACAGAACTGAGGATGCTGAGGATTGGAGGGAAAATTTCAGAGGGCCCTGGAAGCGCAAGGCGAGTCTCTGGCTACTACCGGGGTTCAGGCCCCCCCTTAGGGCAGTCTTCCCCGTCTGGAAGAAGCAGGAGCAAGGGGCACACAGGCAGGGCCTGGAGGCCCGGGTCCTCACGAGTGCCCGGTGGCAGCAGACACCGAGCAGGCCCCGGCCTGTCCGGCACAGCTTCACTCACCGGCAGATGGCTGACTGGCTGTAGGCCGGACCTTCTGTCGCCGTCAGAGCCTGGCCCACCTGGGTCTGTGTGAGGCCCAGGGAGAGCCGCCGGATCTTAAAGTTCTTGGCAAACTCCCGGATCTCTTCTAAGTTGATCCCATCCTCATCCAGGTTTGGAGTATGTGGCTCTAGGCCAGAGGAAGGCAGCAGGGAGAGTGTAAGATGGGCCACATTACTGCTCATCTGGCCCACTGGTCGAGACTGGTGCAGTGGTGAGGGATGAGGGCACCTGGCAAAAGGCTTGTGGCACCCTGATGCCCTCATCACCCTGCCAAGGAAGACACGTGGGAAAGGCCCCTGAGCCAGTCTATCGGGGATGAGCTCTAACTGCTGACCTCGCCCCACGCTCCCTCGCCCTTCCCCAAGCACAGCTGCTGGCCACCCACGCTCCTCCAACACTGGGGCACAAGACCATAGCAGAGGCAGCCAAGGACTCGGCCTGTCGGAGAGACAGCCAAACAGCCTCCACCACCATCGTGCCCAGAATCCAGTCCAACAGGAATGGGAAGAAGAAGGCCAACCCCTTGCCAGATGGGGGCGCACACCTGCAACCCCAGCCCTCGGGAGGCTGAGGCAAGAGGATCGCCATGAGTTTGAGGCCAGTCTGTGGTACACAGTCAGTTCAAGGAGAGTGTGAACTACACAGTGAGATCTTGTTGAAAAAAAGAAAGGAAGAATGGAAGAAAAAGAAAGGAAGAAAGAAGAGAAGAGAAAGGAGAAGAGAAAAAAAGGAAGGGCAAGCCAAGCCTTTGCTGGGCATGGTAGCACATGTCTATAATCCCAGCTTCCAGAGGCCAAGGTAGGAGGATCAAAAGCTTAAGGCCAGCTTGGACAACTTAGTGAGACCTTGTTTCAAAATAAAACAGAAAGGGCTAGGGAGGTAGCTCGGGATAAAGCACTTGACTAGCAAGCACAAGGCCCTGGATTCAACCCCCAATACCACAGGAAGTAGGAAGAGGAGAACAACAACGGGGTGGAAGAGGAGGGAAGAAGAGGAGGAAGAGGAGGGAAGGGAGGGAGAAAGGGAAAGGAAGGAGGAGGAAGCCTTCCTCTCATCCTGGGCCTTTGCCCTTTGGATTCCAGGAACTTTATTTACTTGAAATGGAGTCTGACTATGTTGTCCAGGCTGGCCTTGAAATCCTAGGCCTAAGGGACCCTCCTGTCTCAGCCTCCCACTGACCACAGGTACGTGACACCAATCCATATCTACCAAGTTTATTAAGGGAAACAGTATCTGAGAAGGTCAAGGTGCCCAAATAAATGCCTTCTCCCACTTCTCCACTCTTGTATTCAGGGACTCACTTACTGGACACCAGCTGGCTGACTGTAGGGGTCTCTGAGCAGGTGATAGGGATGGGAACGGAAGCCGATGGCTTGACTGCTGGAGCTGGGCTGGCGATGACCACAGCAGGCTGGGGCACGGCTGGTGTGGGCTGGATGGGCTGCACCTATGAGAGGAGAGACAACAAGCCCCTGTGGCCCCTGCCTGGCTCAGGGGCTCGGAGTCCCTGGGTGGACCAGAGGCAGAGCAGAAATGGGCATTAAATCCTCATCACGGCCCAGCACATTCCCACCTGCGCCATATCGAAAAGCAAGACGAGGGGTTGGGGATTTAGCTCAGCAGCACAGCGCCTGCCTGGCAAGCGCAAGGTCGTGAGTTCAATTCCTGGTACCGGAAAAAAAAAAAAAAAAAAGAAAAAAAAAGAAAAGCAAGACTAGAAGCTGCTTATTAACACCCTCTCTTTGCTAATGACCTTCCAAACAAGCACAGCAACCAGCCCCGCCAGGCCGAAGCCTCCCGGGAGGGGGCTGGTGCTCAGAACGCTTCAGGGCACTTGGCCAAATCCCCAAGTGCCCACCTTTGGGATACCTTCTCTCCTATTTCTGCCTTCAAAGGAGAAACTTAAACCCGATTCTAGAGCCTCCCAAGCCTCCAATGTCCATGAAGAGGGAACGAGTAGGTAACTGTGGGACCTCGCTACAGTGGGAGAATACCGCAGCGCTGGGGGCAGCTCAGCAGTGGAGCACCTGTCTGGTGTGGGCAGGGCTTCATTCCCAGCACCACAAATGTCAATACAAAGAATAAAGTGTCTCTCTTAACTACTCTGAATCGTAGCACCAAGTGTAAGATAATTTTTATGGAACAATGCTGGGGATATAGCTCAATGGCACAAGTGCCTACCTGCAAACGCAAGGTCCTGAGTTCAATTCCCGGTACCAAAAAAAAAAAAAAAAAGGACATATGCATTTTCAGAAAAATCTGTAATCATATTAAGCAAGGTATCAACAGAAATCATCTTTGGAGATCAAAAAAGAAAGATTTTTCTTTCATTATTATTTTTGGTGGTACTGGGAATTGAACCCAGGGTCTGATGCAAACACTGTACCACTGAGCTATATCCCCAACCCAAGGGATTTTAAATTTTTACATGACATATAATGTTAGAATTTTTTTTTTTTTTTTGGTTTTTCTCCGGTACCAGGAACCGAACTCACGACCTTGCGCTTGCCAGGCAGGCGCTTTTGCCGCTGAGCTAAATCCACAACACATAATGTTAGAATTTTAACAAACATAAAAACTGCCCGGGTGTGGTGGCGCATGCCTGTAATCCAAGCACTCAGAAGGCTGAGGCATGGGGCTAGGGATTTAGCTCAGCAGCACAGTGCCTGCCTGGCAAGCACAAGGTCATGAGTTCGATCCCCGGTCTCAGGAAAAAAAAAAGAAGGCTGAGGCAGGAGGATTGCCTTGAGTTCAAAGCCAGCCTGGACTACATACTGAGACCCTGTCTCAAAACACCAATACACACACATCAGGAGAAACTATAAATATATGAAAGTAGTACTTTTAGTGTGATGGGAAAAAAGAACTTTCTAGGAAGTGAGTGCAGGTTTCTCCAGAATGTTCCAATTCACTGGGTTCTGCCTCGTCTATCCCCTCTCCATGCCCAAGGGCTCTGCCCTAGTTCAGAGCTCCTTGTGTCTTGCTGGAACTACATAAGCTGCCTCCTACCAGGTGATAATCATTCAGCTTTCATAAGGCCTGACCTTGGATCCACCTGGATAACAGGGATTTTTTTTTAAGCACATCCGATCAACCATTTCCATGTTTAAATAACCTTTGGCGCACCCCACTCCTTAGTAATAGTAATATCGGTAAGAGCTATTGTTTTTCAGTGCTTTGGGTACCAGAGTGCCAGTGGCCTCTGTGTAATACCCATAACCTTCTGACGTGGGCACTTTTATAATCCCTATTTTTCAGATGAAGCTGGTTATTCACAAGGCTCAGAAGCATCATCACACATTTGAGAACCTCTGGCCTTGGTGTCACCTGGAGACTTAGAATGCACATTCTGGGGCCCCACTTCAGACCTTTGGAAAAAGAAACTCTTCCTCCTGGCAAGCCTTCCAGGTGACTCTGAGGCACAGGTTTGAGAATGAGCACTCTATCTCGGACACGTGCTGCAGTTCCCCAAAGACAGCACCGTCACACCCAAGCCATCCCTGTGGACTGGTTCAAAGCCCTTTCTCCCTGGAGCCTTGCCAGATCCTCTGGGATGTCCGAGCTCTACTTCTCTGGGACCCTGGAGTGCCTTATTCCTGCTCCTGGCATAGACTTTATGGTGCTCACCTGTCATCATCACCAACACGGAGCCAGCAGGGGCATTTTAGAAATCTTTGTATCTCAGCACTTGGAATACAGTAGGCACTCAAAAAAAAAAAGCTTCTGGAAGGTCCACGCCTGTAGTCCCAGCACTCTGGGAAGCTGAGACAGGACAATGGCAAGTTGAAGGCCACCCTGGGCAAGTGAGGCCTTGTCTCAAGATTAAAAACAAAATAGTGCTGGGGAATGGAGCTCAACATGAAGGCCCTGGGTTCAATCCCCGGCACCAAAGCACGACGACAACAACAACAACAAACTGGAAAGAACAAATAAATGAATAATCAAAGCTGTGGTGCAGAGTGAAGAGGGAGGGGGTGAAGAAGGTGTGGAATTAACCTCCTAAGGCTTCCCTAGCAGTTTCTTCACCCTGAAGCTGCCCCAAGGCCAGTCTGCTCTGACCACATCCCCTCCTTGGACTTTTAAGAGCGGCACTGGCTTCTGAGGGCGCAGACACACACGTTGCAGCGCATGCGTAGTGGGGACCAGAGAGGCCAGATTCCCTACGCAGGACCTGGGAGTGCACTCATGTAGGCCTTCTACTTGGGGGCTCTCCCTCACTTTTGGGAGGACCCCTGCTCTCTCGGGAATTTTAGAAGATGTTATGCTGCCTGGCAGGCTAGAAGGAAGGCGCCCGTGTCTCCCACCCACACCCCACCCCCGGTACCTCGCTCTTGGCAGGGGACTCAGGAGTGCTTGGCTTCCGGACAGCCACGGGTGGAGGCAGGGGGCTGCTGGCCAGAGTCGCAATCACCTGGCCCTGGGCATTCAACAACAGTTGAGGGGTCACAGCCTGGACCTGCAGGCTCTGAGCTGGTGCTGGGGCTGCCACGCTAGCTGAGTTCACCACCCACGGAAGTGTTCCAATGACCTAGGAGGAAATAGGGCAGGGAACCGGATGTGAAGGTAGTGTCCTGCTCCAGCCCGACCCCAACCCCACACTGGCAGGGGAAGACACTAACTTGGACAAACCACTTAACCCCTCCGGCCTGCTTCCTCATCAACAAAATGAAGGCTCCATACTCTCAGGGTCCTGCCTGCATTCTATCCCCAGAGCTGCGGTGGGGCAGCAGCAGGTCTGTTGGTGAATCAGAGACTGGGATGCCAATACCGGCCTGGCAGGCTACTGGCAGGAGTGGGTGCTCCGCAAATGAAATCCCTCAACTAGAATGAGCGCCTCCAGGGCAAGGTGGTGGCGGCATCCCTGCGCCCCTCGGTAGCAGCAGAGACCTGTGAACAGCAGCTGGGTGGCTATCAGACCAAGTCCTGGCTGCCTCCCACTAGCTTTACCAGACCTCCCCCGCAGCCTCCAAAGCCCTCGCTCTGACCACTTGCCTGTCCCTGAGCGTTGGTGAGGATCTGACTGCTGATCCCTGGCATGCTGGGGATGGCGCTGGTAATGACCGGAGTTGTAGTGAGGGAGCCCAGGATCTGGGTCTGTGCCCCGAGGGAAGCAGCACTGATCTGTGGGTGGAGGAAGAGCCCTGCTCAGAGACTAAGGGACCAGAAAGAGACCCAGACAGAGGGAAGCGGGCCGCGGGCAGGGGCGAGCAGATACCCGTGTCCATTCACTGAACGCTGTGCAGGAACTATAGGGGTAGGGGGAAGGCGGGGTCACAGCCATGGAACTGGGCAATCTTTCGTGCCAGGCTGGGAGGGTAGAAGGGCCAGACTGGAGTTGGCTGATGTGCTCCAGGTCACATCCAGCAGCCCTGCTACTAAGCCTGCAGCCACACTGGACAGATACTGGCCAGAGGCTGGGCGCCTCTGGCTCTCACGTTTGCAATCCCTAAGGCACCATCCCACCCGCCAAGGGTGGTCTACTGGTTCAGGTTCTGGGGCATGTGCCCAGGCCTCTTGGCAGAGGTTGTCCTCTTTGGTCTGGGCCGGACAAGCTGACAGCTCACAGGAGAACTCGGAGGGAGCCCATCTCTGTTGAGGTGTTGGAAAAGGGCTGCATTCAAGGGGCTGCTCCTTCACTGGCCAAGATTTGGTCCATCCCTGGTCAGCCCCGGGCGTGGGCAGCAGCTTACGATTCCCGGGCTAAACGCAAAGCCTGCAGGCTGGACGGTGATCTGTGGGGTGGTGTCCACTGGCTTGGGGGTGGGGGCGGCCGCGGTGGCAGCGGTGGGCTGCGGCAGGATGGCAGGCGTGGTCTGCAGCAGTGGCTGGGTCTGGAACAGCGCCTGGGGCTGGGCTGGTGGCCGGGGCGGGGCTGGCGACGAGGCCTGGGCTGGTGAGGCAGCTTGGACAGGTGCCGGGAGAGCGGTGTTCAGCACGGCGGCTGCTACGGAGCAAGGCAGAGACAGAGGTGCTCAAACGCCTAGCCACAGCCTGGAGCAGCTCCAATCCTAAGGGATCTGGCACGAGAAGGACAGGGGTCGGGGCAGCGGGCATGGGGGCAGGCAGCCACGATTCCCTTGATCCTTGAAGGGCTGGCACACGCCAACATCAAGAACCAGATGTCGACTCTTCTTGCAGTCCTTCGCAGGAGGCTGGTCACTGGGTGGATTCTGGCGTGGGGGCAGGGGGCAGTCTTAGGCAGTTGCTGAAGGAAGAAAGGCCTGCTGGCCAGCGTGGTGTCCTGGCCTAGAGTCCCAAAATGGAGCAGCGGCTCTGTGACTGGGTGCCTGGGACACTGGATCCAGACTCCAGGGCTGTCGCCCCGGGTGGGCTGCGGGTTCTGAGTCCAACATGGCAAGCACACGTGCAGGGGCGGTAGTGTTGGGCGGTGGGGGCCTGGTGCAGTCCTGGGGAGAGCTGCCGTTACCTTGGAGACCGGCTAAAGGTGGCTTGAAAATTGCCCCCGTAGGAGAAGCAGCGGTCAGTCCTGGGAGGGCAGCCACGGTTGCGGTAGGGATTGTCCACACGGCCAGCCCCTGCTGCCCAGCCACTTGACCTGCAATACTGACGGGGATAAGAAGAGGTTGAGTAACTGCCCCTGCTGGAACCACAACTCCTGTCAGAACTGTGGCTAAGTTTTCCTGAGTCAAGACCTGTAAAAGTAAACAAGATTTCAAAAAGAAAAGAAAAAATAAAAAATCAACATTGACAGTGCAAAAAAACTGGGTCTCTTGGACCCAGAGGAGTACACACAAAGCATTCTGAGGGCAGCAGGGAAAGGCCACAGAGGGCGGGCAGAGCCCAGCCGTAGCTGAAGCCCGACCCTGAGGAGTGCCTGGACCACGCTATTCTGCCTGCAGAGGAATCCTCCAGACGACTCAGGGCCGAGCCCGCCCCAGCCAGGCCTCTTCCCCGCAGTCTGCCCCCTCCTGGGCCTTCCCTGGGCCCTCGCCCACAGGACCAGTGCTCTGTGGCCCAGGGAGCTGGGCCAGAGGCTGCAAGTGGTCAGGGGCCCCAAGAGGCCTCGAAGAAGCTCCAGGAAAGGAAATCCTTGACTGGCTGTCTCGAGATCAGGGCATGGAGCAAAGGCCACAGGGCTCTGCGTGCCTGCGGGATCCCGAGGCAGCGGCTCACTGCGCTGGGGCCACTCTCTGGCTCTAAATGAGGACTCTGAATAATCCATTAACTCTTCCAGGCATCGGCTGGCGGGGCTGACAAGGATATTCACTCATTGTTGGATAAACAGGAACTCTGGCAGCATGAAAGAGTTAAGACAGTTTCTATAACCCTTTCTGGATCCAAGCAGATGGACCAGGCGAACAGTTCCTCTTTTCTGACGGGGCCCGATTAGGTCAGGGGTGCCTAGCCAGAGACTGCCTCCCTCAAGCCACAGCTTCTTCCCCGTCCCACCTCATGCAGACCCCGTAACCACTCCACCGCTCGCTCTGTCCAGCTCCCTGGGGCGGCCCTTACCTGGGGGGCAGCTTGTACAGCCAGTGGCGTCAGGGTCTGCGATGCCTGAGGCTGGCTCGGGGCTTGGCTGAAGGTGGCAATGGCAGGGGCAGGGCCCGGAGGGATCCCCGGGATTGACTTCACTTCACACGGCATTGGGAGAGAGAAGAACAAGCAGTGAGCCTGGAGGAGTAGGGCACCCTGTCTGCAGCCTCGAGTGCCGCTCAGCCCGCGCTGCATTTCCGCATGACTCCAGGCCAGCGGTCGGCCTTCCCGGCCCATGCAGCAGTTTGCCCAACGCCACTCAGTGAGGCAAGGAGGCTGGGCGTCCTGGGCCAGGTCTGGCAGGCTACTCTCTTCCCACATCTAGACCAAGAGAAGGCAGTCTCTGCACAGCAGGGTACCAGCCCCTCACTTCCTGGCTCTAGAGGACACTATGACCTGTCACAGAAACAGCAAAAGGGCCTGAAGCAGATGCGAGGCAGAGAGGGAAAGAGCTACAACCGACGGGAGCAGGTCCTGTGGGCTGAGCCAGCCACAGAATCACTATTTTTTGGATTAAAAAAAAGTGCTGGTGTAGGGAGGAGGCAGGGCAAAATCCTTGAAAACTGGACACGTCCGCACCACACTGCAGGCTCTCGGTGTCTCCAGGCCTGCCAGCTTTTCTCTGCCAGCCCCCAAAGTCGGAAGTCAGACGAGCAGTTCCTAGGAGCTTCCCAAGGAATCCCCAGGATCTAGAGCTTCTCACTTCCTCTTGCTCCCTTGGCCAGGAGTTGGGATGTGCCCACCAGGAAACCTCACTGCAGCCACACAACAGTGAAAAGAAGGGTGATAATTCACGTAAGGACACAGGCTAAAAGGAACTTTGATGGAGACCACTATGAAACAGCCCTGAGCAGGACTTAAAAGTAACCAACTGGCTTTCCATGTTTACTTGTGATTCTGCCCAAGGCCTAGGCTCCTTGTCTGGAGATGGGCAGTGGACTCATAGTAAGTGAATCTCTGTGAGTCACTAATCCCTACTAAGAACTTTAATGGCTGGTGAAACCTGAAAGCCTCAAAGGATAAGACAAGGTCACAGCCAAGGACACCTGGACCCAACCTCAACTAGATAAAGACTATGCCCTTAGGCATCTTGCTCCTGGGTGGATTAACTTCATACCTTACTTGGAGAAGTCCTTGAATGGTTCCAAGGTTCTTGAGTATTCCCCTCCCTTCTTTCCGTAACTAAATAAATACAGGCCACCCAGAGAAGGTTGTGGTCTTAGCCCCAACAGAATCTCGAATTCTGTGAGAGAGCTTTGTTCCTCCTGGAGCCCTGAAATCATTCCTTTTGCCTTTTTTTTTTTTTTGTCTATTTGAGACAAGATCTCACTATGCAGTTCAGGCTGGCCTTGAGCTCACTTTGTAGCCCAGGCTGGCCTTCAACTCACAATGATCCTCCTGCCTCAGCCTTCGCAGTGCTGGGATTACAGGTGTGTGCCACCATGCCCCACTGCCTCTTTTTATTTAGCCTTCACCATATACTCATCCGGGAGATTTTGGACCTGATCAGCCCTAATAACTAAGGGATATTAACCGGATAGAATTTAAGTACTGGGTGATGGCTGTTGGACAGATCAGTGGCTTGCTTTATCCTATTTTTCTCTTTTTGCTCTGCCAGAGATCAAACCCAAGGCCTTGCACCCAAATGACTAACACACTACCACTGAGCTACACCTTCAGCTTATTTGAGAGAGCATCTTGCTAAGCTGCCCAGTCTGGCCTCAAATTTTCAATTCTCCTGCCTCAGCCTCCTGTAGCTGGGATTACAGGTATGCAGGTATGCACTATGACTCCCAGCTTCAGATCAGTCAGTGGTTTTCTCATGCTGGTTGGGCATGTATTCTAGACCTACTCAGCAGGATGCCTAGGAGGGGAAGCTAGCAAACACCACTCCTCTTTAAAGTTCCCCTGGGATGCAGCAGGAGCCAGGAGTGGGCAACACTGAATTAAATAACCTGAAGGGCTTTGCCCAACCTTGCAGTCTTACTGCTCACAGCACAGAATAATAAAACCCAGGACGTTCAGGACATTAAAGTGACACAAGGTACACAGCAACAAAGACTTGCAAAACAGTACAAGAGTGGAAGTGGAAGGTCTATCTTGTCTGTAGAGGGAAGAAACATTTTAACTATTAAAAAAAAAAAAAAACACTTTAACTATTGAAAAAAAAAAATCAAGGAAGATACAGCTAATCAGAGCATAGGAAAATTTAAAAGAATTGTGTTGGGCCAAATGTAATGAAACAAAAAAAAGGAAAGTAAGAAAATGAGAACTTGACTGGGTGTGGTGGCGCATGCCTGTAATCCCAGCACTCAGGAGGCTGAGGCAGGAGGGTCATTGTGAGTTCAAGACCAGTCTGGGCTACAAAGTGAGCTCAAGGCCAGCCTGAACTGCATAGCGAGACCCTGTCTCAAAAACACCAAAAAAAAAAAAAAAAGTATAGTACCCTGGAATCCAAGGGTTTACACACATTTGGAGTTCCTGTCATTTCTTCAGTGCACCATGCAGTTCAGGTTTTATCACTGTTTATTTATTTTCTGAGCTAACAAACATGTGGTACCTTAAAGCCAACTACTTTTCTTTGAAGTGATAGTACATTTTTATCTTTCCATATGATGACTTCTTATGTCAACAGTGAATCTCCTGAGGTCAGGGATATAGCTCAGTGGTAGAGTGCCTGCCTGGCAAGTGCAAGGTCCTGAGTTCAATTCTTGGTACAAAAAAAAAAAAAAATCTATCAAAAGGAATATGAGTGGACTACACTCACAAATAAGAATTTTAGGCCGGGCGTGGTAGTGCACGCCTGTAATCCCAGCACTTGGGAGGCTGAGGCAGGAGGATGGCTGTGAGTTCGAGGCCATCCTGGGCTACAAAGTGAGCTCAAGGTCAGCCTGAACTGCATAGCGAGACCCTGTGTCAAAAAAAAAAAAAAAAAAAAAAAAAAGACCAAAAAACCCATAAATAAGAATTTTAAAAAGCTAAAGAACCAAGACAAAAATGTTCCAAACAGCATAATTTATGAGAATAAAAAAAAAAAATCAATTTGACAATTGCCCAAATTAGAAGCAGGTATGTGAGTGTATGTGAATCAAGGAAATAAGCACATCAAGTAATAGGGGAGCAAGTGTCACACTCCATATTCTGCCCTTGGTGGCCACAGCTATAAAAATATGTGTGTGACAGGAAGTAGACAGTAAATTAGGCTGGGCATGGTGATGCAGGCCTGTAATCCCAGTACTTGGGAGGCTGAGGCAGGAGAATTGCTGTGAGTTCGAGACCAGACTGGGCTATAAAGTGAGCTCAAGGCCAGCCTGCACTGCATGGTGAGACCCTGTCTCAAAAAGACAAAATAAACAAAAAAAACAGTAAGTTAGAATGACACACACCACTGGATTCTTTTTTCACCCTGAAATTTTTTTCTATTACTTAGTTTTGTTTTAATGAAAGGAAATCTTTCTTCATATTGCACAACCAGAAAGTTCCCATCCATCTACGGTGGCAGCTTCTTAGTAAAATTGAAATATTTCCCTCATCCACTGGATAACGAATGCAGTCCCTAGCCGAGGTGGCAGCTCACTCCTATCATCTCAGCAACCTAGGGAGTGAGACCCTGTCTAAAATTAAAAATGGGGGGCTGGGGATTTAGCTCAGCGGCAAAAGCGCCTGCCTGGCAAGCTCAAGGTCGTGAGTTCGGTTCCCGGTACCGGAGAAAAACCAAAAAAAAAAAAAAAAATTAAAAATGGGCTGGGGAATGTAGCTCACTGCTATTCAACCCTGAATACCACACACACACACACCAGCAAATGCTAAAACTATTCCATGGGAAAATGCTTCAAAATACAAACCTCCAAAGTAAGATGTACACTACCATAAACATTCATATATTCATGCTAAGGTGTAAATAACTGATTTAGTTGGTTTTTTTTATTTTTTGTTTTTTGTCTTTTTGAGACAGGGTCAGTTCAGGCTGGCCTTGAGCTCACTTTGTAGCCCAGGCTGGTCTCGAACTCACACCATCCTCCTGACTCAGCCTCCCAAGTGCTGGGATTAGAGGCATGGACCACCATGCCCAGTTAAATAACTGATTTAGAACTCCTCTCCCTGGACTGGATTGAATCCAGGGCCTTTGCACTGAGCTACATCCCAACCCCTTTTGAGATACAGTCTTTCTAACTCACTAAATCACCCAGGTAGGACTCAGACTTGTAATCCTCTTGCCTCAGCCTGGCAGAGTGCTGGAATTCCAGGCATGCACCACCCTCCTGGTTTAGAATCCATTTCCTACAGTAAGTTTGGATAAGGAGTAGAACACATTAGAAAAAAATGAGATAAAAAATGGATCAAAAGGTGAAAAAGTAAAGTCGGGGCTGGGCATGGTGGCGCACATCTGTAATCCCAGCACTCTGGGAGGCTGAGGCAGAAGGATTGCAAGTTTGAGCCCAGCCTTGGCAATTTAGTGACTTAGTGAGATCCTTTCTCAAAGTTAAAAAAAAGAAGAAAAGAAAGAAAGAAAGAAAGAAAGAAAAAGAGGAAGAGGAAGACGAAGGGGATGGGGAGGGAGAAGCCTGGGAATGTAGCTCAGTGCAAAGGCCCTGGGTTCAGTCCTCAGCACCAGGGGAAAAATACTGCAGTTGGGGCACCATGGATAACCCCAAGAAATCTCCTAAGCAAATTCACAGTGGCTCTACTTAATAGAAAGGGTGGCAGAGAGGTAAAAGTCCTTGTCTGTCCTGCCCACTCTCCAGGGCAGTGCCCCTTGGAAGCATGTGAGGGTCCATCGCAGCCTCAGCCTGCAGGCAGAGAATTTCCAGGCTAGGGAAAGAGGGTCCTGTCTCTTGTCACTCCTCTACTCAAAAGGAGAAGTAACTAAGAAGGTCCTCAAGAACCCGCATGCAGGTCTGCAGGAGGAGCAAGTACGGAGAGGTCGCAGTTTCCTTGTTCAGAAGCTGCCGCTCCTCTGAGGTTGTCTGTTCTCACTCGCTCTCGGCTCTTCCTCTTGGCCCAGCCCGCCAGCCCAAAGCTCCCGTCCGGGGAATGGGCGAATGCGCACAAGGCAAGGGGGAGGAAGGAGGGAGGAGCCACGGGATGCTAAATGGCAAACGAAGCCCAAGGCTTCCTGCGAAAGAGATGAGCACCCTGCAAGGTACCGACGAGGCAAGTTCATGGAAAGGCATCCCTGGCCACGAGTAGGGCCCACGGCCACACGCGCCCTCCAAGGGGCCTGCCTCTCACAGGGGTGCTGCGGAAGCGGCTGGCTCACGCTGTAAGGTCCCTTTACAGAGGGACCAGACATATACAGGAGAGGGGAAAGCAAACATTTTGCAGGGTTCTACCTGCTCTACATCCTAGTGTGAGGGAGCGAAGATGCCCTTCCACGCTCAGCTCCTGAGACCGCTCAGCCCAACTACAAAAAGGATGGAGCTGGAAAGGCTGGCTGGATTCCGAAGGCCCAGTCCTCTCCGCACTGGGCCTCACAGTTTGGTTTGGACTTAGGACTCCTCTGAGGTTGATTTAACCCCTCAGCTGAGCCCTGCCAACCTCTTCCCACCTTAGCCTGAACCATCCCAGTGCAGGCCTCCAAGGGACTGCAAGGAGAGCTACTGTTCCAGGAACAAGGAGGGTAGCGCATCCCTGCTGGCCGGGAGTAGGGGCCGAGGCCAAAGCCTGTCCAGAGGACAGGAAGACAAGATCCTAATGTCACCTGGACCCCTGGGGCTGTGCTAGTTCCCCACAGGAACACAGAAGGGACTTGGGGGTGTTCGTGGATAGGAGTGATGGGCTCATACCAGCTGGCTCTGCGGCGGGGTCTGGGTGGCCCGGCCCAGCTTCACCAGCAGATCCACTGGCTTCAGCAGGGCCCCCGCCTTGGGGGTTCTCAGCAGCCACACTCTCCAGTCCTTTGCCCTCCTCCTCGGCAGGGAGCTGGGCATCCACGCCAACTTCCAGCACGCGGATGGTCTCGTGGCCTGACATCACGATAACCTGCAAGCAGAAGACGGGGATGTTTCTGCGGAGGGGGATTGGACAGCCCCTGAGGATGAGTTCTGGGGGTGACTAGGGGAAGGCAAGTGCACACGTCAGGAAGCAGACCCCTTATCCAGAGGCCTGCTTGCTCTGTGTGAAGGCCATAGCCCCGGAAAGCTATGGCTCCCTGATTCCAGGGAAAGAGCTGCTAGAGGAACACAGGCCCTGGGGGTAGGGCGAAGGCCTGATTCAAACTAGGCGAAGTCCCACAGAGACAAACCCCTTGGGAGTTACTTGTTTTTCTTTTTCTTTTCTTTTCTTTTTTTTTTTTTTTTTGTCCTTTTGAGACAGGGTCTCACTATGCAGTTCAGGCTGGCCTTGAGCTCACTTTGTAGCCCAGGCTGGTCTCAAACTCCCAACAATCCTCCCGCCTCAGCTTCCTGAGTGCTGGAATTACAGGTGTGCGCCACCACGCCTGGCTGAGAGTTATTTCTATTTGCTCCCTTTCCTAAATTCAGTTTAAGGAGTGGGAAACGACCTACCCTCAACTTGTGGATATGTCCTCTTGGGTGCTCAGACCCTGGAGTGGCCTCTGACATGGTATTCACACCGTAAGTTAGGCCAGGGAACAAATTCATCTTCCCTTGAAATGACCAGGAAGTTTCTCAAAGCTAAAGGCCAGGAATGGAAGCCCCACAGTGCTCTGTAACTTTTTAAACTCAGGATACCTTTATTTTCCAAAACCCTACAGTGAAGGGCCAAGATTTCCCTGCAAATTAACTGCCTGGAAAAAGGGCTGGAAATCACGAAAACACAGCCTCTCCTGCCCCACGCTGGCCCGCTCAGTCCTGCCATCTGCTGCCCACACGCCTGGCACCGAGTGCTTCCTGAGCCTCTGGACACTCAGTCTCCTGCTCCCACCCGCTGCACTCAGCTCCTGACCTCAGCACGGAAGTGCTGCCGTTTGGGCCCCTCAAGACTCAGGAAAAGGCTGGGGATATAGCTCAGTGGCATAAGCGCCTGCCTGGCAAGCGCAAGGTCATGAGTTCGGTCCCAGGTACCACAAAAAAAAAAAAAAACCAAAAAAAAGACTCAGGAAAAAAAAGAATCAGAGACAAACTCTGTGTGTGAAAGAGCTGTGTGCCTTCAACACACTCCTGAAGCCTGAAAAGTGGACCCAGCCAGAGACTGTGCTGGAAAAAGTGACAATGTGACCCATCAGGAGAGTGTGAGTGAAATAAATCCCACAAAGCAGGTCCCTTCTGTCGACTCAAACTTGACTTATGAGGGATTTCATTACAATTACATTTTAAGAGGTATTAATCTTTTTCCTCCCTTTAAAAATGGTATAAAAAAAAAAATAAAAATGATACAGAGATTAAATGGTCATTGCAAAAATATCAGAAAACAATCGAGAAGATAGAGTAAACCACTTGACCTCCAACTTTTTCTTCGTGCAAACTCCTTACATATCTGTGAACTCTAATTTCTATTTTAAAGTCACCGCTTAAATCCCCAAACGCAGCCCCTGAGAAACCCTAGCTGGGCAACTCCCCCCGGCAGGTAAAGTAGCCATGAACTTGTGAGGAACCGCACGAGGGCTCTGCGGAGCCTTCGCCCCTTGCCCGCACCCCTTGCCCGCACCCTCACCTCTTCTTGGCCCGGAAAATACCTGCTCATTGACAGCCAGAGATGGCTCGGACCCGGCTCCAGGATCCATGGTCGCTGGTCAGGCTGGGGCGGGGGCTGGCCCACACCTAGCGTATCCTGGGTAAGACGGGATTGGAAAAGCAAACGCTGATGTGACTCAGTAATGAAATTCCCAGACTACCTAGAAAAGTCAAAAATAGAACGGTAGGAAGACGGAGCTACGGAAGTAGAAAGAATGGGATTTGAAGAACTTTCGAGCCTCGCTGCCTACAGCGTCCCAAGAGAACCTACACACGGCCGGCATGGTGCCTGGAGGGACAGAGGAAAGGTATCTGTCCCCGGGGCGTCCTTGGTCCAGTGGAAGGCAGTGTACCCAGTAGCACCCACGTGATCTGACAGACACTCAGACGCTCAGACCAAGGTGCTTCTTAGGGGAGAAATCTGGACAGAACTTCTGGGAAAAGATGGCAAAGACATAAGTGAGCCAGGGGCAGCGGCACACGCTTGTAGTCCCCGCTACTCGAGAGGCTAGGACAGGAGGATCCACGAGGTCCGGTGCCCAAGAGCTCCAGACCAGCCTTGGCAACATAGCGAGAAGCATCTCAAAAAAAATAAAAAGGCGAGGCTGGGGATTTAGCTCAGCAGCACAGCGCCTGCCTGGCAAGTGCAAGGTCGTGAGATCAATTCCCAGTACCGGAAAAACAAACAAACAAACAAACAAACAAAAAAGGCACAAATTAACACAGTGGTCTTAGACTTTAACATGCATGATCATCACCTGGAGCACTTGATAAAAATGCAGATCTCCAGGCCTTTCCCCCTCAAACCCTCAGAAACTGATTCGGTGGACGAAGCCCACAGAATTAGTTCGCAGGTGATTCTGCAGCAGTGACCTAAGGACCCATGGCCCATACACGCATAAAGAGCTAGGGCATCCCAGTCCTGGAACAGCCTGCCACACGCAGTAAGGAGCGGGTGAGCCTCGTGTGGGTCAGGTTGTCTGGGGCCACAAATCACAGTCATAAGAAATAAAGGAAATAAAAGGGATACATAGACATTACACACTTATGGAGGAAACAGGACAATTAAGGTTTCCTCTGAGCGCCTATCATGGGCTAAATATGTAACACTAATTGATGTATTATGCATGCCAACCCTAGGGGGTAGGGGCAAGGACATTATTACCACTGAGTTACACTAGGGAAAACCGAAAAACCAAGGTGTTCCGGATTCCACACCTTTCCCTCTTTCTCCCCTAGGTTTTCTTGTTGCTGTTGTTGTTTATGGTGCTGGGGATGGAACCCAAGGCCTCACTTGTGCTAGAAAAGCACCCTACCATTGAACTCACCCAGCTGCCCACCCTACGGTCCGAATGCCTGTGTCTCCTCCAAATTCGTATGTTGAAATCCTCCCACTCAAGATGAGGATATTAAGATGATTAAGCTATAAGGGAAGAGCTCTCATGAATAGAACTGGCCAGGCGTGGTGGCCCACACCTGTAATCCCAGCACTTGGGAGGCTGAGGCAGGACGGTTGCGGAGTTTGAGACCAGCTTGGGCTACAAAGTGAGCTCAAGGCCAGCCTGAACTGCATAGCAAGGCCCTGTCTCGAAAAGACAAAAAAAATAGAAATAAAAAAAACATGAATAGGATTAATGTCTTTGTGAGAGAGACCTTCGTCCCTCCCACGGTGCAAGGCTGCAGCAAGGAGGAGGAACAGGCCCGCTCCAGACACTGGCGCCTTCACCTTGGACTTCCCAGCTCTCAGAGCTGTGAGATGTAAACTCTTCTACTTAGAAACTAACTAGTTTATGTTATTTTATTACAGCAGCCCAAGCAACGACAAAGGCATATAACGTAAAATGTGCCATTGTATTTTATTTCCGTTGTGCGGGGACTGAACCCAGAGCAGGTGCTCTACCACTGCGCCGTGTCCCCAGCCTCTGTTTAACCATTTCCCAGCGAACAATTCAGCGGAATTCAGTACGTTCACAACGCTGTGCAACTATCACCGACTCGTTCCAGCAGATTTTCATTAACCCAAAAGGAAGACCCATGTCCACTTGCACGTACCTTCTAGGGCCACCTCCCAGCACCTGGTAATCACTATCTGCTCTCTCTCTCTATGGATTTGTCTAATTTGGATATTTCAGATAAATGGAACTGTACAACATGTGGCCTTTTTCCTCAGCATAACTTTTTTTTAGCATAACTTTTTAATGTTCAGTGGCATGTAGTATTATAATTTCATTCATTTTCATGGCTGAGCCGGGCGTGGTGGTGCACGCCTGTAATCCTAGCACTCGGGAGGCTGAGGCAGGAGGATCGTTGTGAGGTCAAGACCAGCCTGGGCTACAAAGTGAGCTCAAGGCCAGCCTGAACTGCACAGCAAGACCCTGTCTCAAAAAAGACCAAAAAACGAAAAAAAAAATTTCATGGCTGACTAGTATTTTATTGTGTGGATCAAATACATTTTGTCTATCCATTCACTAGTTGCTAGACGTCTGGATTGTACCTGCCTTTGGCTCTTGTCCATAGTACGTCTATGAGTATTTGTACACAAGTCGTTAAACATCAATTTCCAATTCTTTGGGGTGTGTATGTAGGAGTTGAAAAGCTTGGTTTTAGCATCTTTGTCCCTTGGCAGAATGTTCCCCCCTCAACAGGTGAGGAGAACCATGAGGTACCTTCCCTCCTCTCCTCTCTCCAATACTTCTGAAGTGGGGGTCAGGGAAGGGCAAGCAACTCAAGACAAGGAACCATCTGAAAAATGGGTAGGGACCGGGGATTTAGTTCAATGGCGCAGCGCCATGAGGTCCTGAGTTCGATTCCTGATACTCCCCACCCAAAAAAAGTAAATGCGCTTTCCCTGTTCAAGTAGGACAGGGGCTCTCGGAGGGGCAGAGAAATCTTCTATAAGAACAGGTGAGCATCTGCCGGCCTCACTGGGGCTCTGGCTTCATTACTGAGAGATGCTGCCTGGGCCTGACCCAATGTGCATGTGAGTCCTCCATGACTTTTTCAGAGAACTTGGCAATTTACCACCACTCTGGGTGAGACTCGAGGTGTACCATTAAAGTTGTTACATACAGAAGTCAAAAACAAAGCCATCTGCAAATTAAAATAGGAGGCAGAGACAAACTTGAAAGGTGTACACAGTGAATTGGGTCCCTTATAGCTTGACAATCACATTTCACAGGGAGAAGAAATTTCTACTTCCAATGAAGGCCATCAGGCAAAGGCGGCAGCAGCCAGCCACTGAGGCGTCTGCTCCAGAGGGGCTGAAGTCCTGCTCATGGTCTTCTTGTGACCTTTGGTTCGCTGCTACCAGGCATGGCCAGTCACAAGGAGGGTTAAGCACAGGGAAGCATCCTCTTTGTGACACAGCTCATCCACTCTTTACTTCCTCTTCAGGTTGTCGCACCCTGTCTGACAACTACCACAGCTACGTCTCCAGCTTGGGTGCATCCGGGACCTCTGCGTTCACAGACCCATTGCCTACTGGCGGCTTGGCTCATTCTGTCAGACACAAGGGACAGACAGGCGTGGCGACTCTCAGAGCTCCTCCCCGCTTGAGATTCTGTGAGTTATGAGGACCCCGGCGCTCGCTGGGTGTCTGGTCCTTTGTGTCAAGGGCAAGGTCAGGCCTGAGGTACCGTCTCTGGCCACACCTAGGTCTCCCCTGGCCCACTAACCAGACTTCAGCCCATTGGAAATCCGGGCCGAGCGGAAGCAAAGGCCTCCCTCGTGTCTAATATAACAAACACCTGCGTCAGCACTTGGCACTTTGACTCTTTGCTATGTGTTCCCCTTTACTATGCTTCCCCCTGGGCCTGCTCCCTTCCTTGCAAGGAAATTTCCACTTCTTTTTTTTCAAGCCTCAGGCTGGCACCACCTTCAGTTTGCTTTGTGACCATTTTCCCAACGACTGGGGAAAGGACATTGCGACGGCCTCCTTTGAGGCCAGGATGCCATACCATGCCATCCCGAGAGCCAGGGAAGAGAGGCAATCAACTGTCTGTTTTAAGACAACAGCATAAACAGATCACAGTGCAACTGCTCTGGTTAAAGCTCGGTGGGCAGGAACCGAGCCCCGCAAGAGCCTTCTCGCCTTCTTTCCCCAGTGAGTCAAGTGTGATAAACTCCTGAAGCGAGCCTGGCGAGGCACCCAGGTGGCTCACTTACCCCTGCTCTCTGGTGCTGGCGTCTAAGACTCAGGCCACGCAGAACAAGTGACCTGCGGGTGCTGAGACGTTTGCCCTCAACCTAAGCACCAGATCTGTCCGGGGCCATCCAGGAGAGTCAGGGCAGAGGAAAGAGCTGGAGGATCGGCTTCATGTGTTCCTCTCCTCCGGGAGCTGCCACGGTTTAAGGCAACGTCCCCAGACACCCAGGAGGAGAGCCGAGAAGTCCCAACTCAGAACTTCCTAGAGCAGCCTGAGATCCTAGCCGGAGAACTCCTGGGATGCCATGTCCTCTGTTTATTCACCAAGTATT